TCGGGTATAGGGGAACGTCACTTATGAGTGGTCAAGGTGCCTACTTGTCTTGCTGCTGCTTTGTCCAAAATAGAAGCGGCTCCAACATTTTGTTGATTTTCCCATGATTTGCTGGAACATTTTCGAAGATAATCATCGCCTGGAGATGATATTGATAATTCTACATTCCACTAATCAATGTAAATGCCGAAACACAAAGGTCGGTTGCCCTACAAGAAATCATTGCCAAATTCATTTGATCGTATTGATAGATGTGAGCAACAAATATTGAGATTGGCCTCGTCAATACGCAACTACAATTTTGATTCACTTTCATTTTCGACCACGCGATATCCGTGAGACACCTTGTGATGCATACACGTGGTGAGACCATCCCTATTTGCAGCATTTTACTGACTTTACCGTACACCCACTGGCTGTTTATTCTGAAGAATAACTGGGCTGAGATTTAAAAACTGTTATTTTGGAAGCCTCTTAATGGACACAAGTGAAACATTGTGGGTAGAGTCTTTGACTGATTCGTAGATAGGTTACAATATGAGCTCTGTTTAGTTTTCGTTATGGGTTTGAACAATGGGTGGTGGTGATCAGACGATTTAAGTCGCTGTCACCGGGGTGATTTTTTCCCTACGGTCCGAGGTTCGAACACCGTCACCCACCTTTGATAGGCAGGTTTGCTGTCTTCCGGCTCGATCCGACGCCTAACCTGGTGGGGCCACATGTGGTTCGCTACTCTTTGTCCCGGGGCCTTGCTTGTCCGTTCTTATTAGTGAACGTCAGGTTCTCATGATAGTGAGTTTACCCCGTCGTCAGTTCAGCACACAAGCGTANTAAAAATGGAATTGGTGTTCAAACGGAGGTGCAATCGACACCTACCCACGGAAATAATATTTGCTTTTGTCACGGCCGGCTAGTTGATGCCCATTTTATAACTTCCCCACTTCTCAAAATAATTTTTCTGAATTGCTGTTAATAGATCAATTAACTGCGAATTTGACTGGTTTTTTGCGAAGCTGAATTGTGAATGGGTTAGATGCTACTAACCGCAACAAACGTGACTTGGTGATCTTGGCAGAATTTTTGATAGTAAGTAGTATTTGAATGACTGGACCTAATTTCGCTGGTAGCACATGACCGGTTTCGCGGTTCTTACCACTCGTCAGGCATGTGTATCCGGTAATCTTTTGTCAGTTTATTCATAGGCTTGTATCCAGGAGGTGTATTTTCGTCATAATAAGCTTGTTTACAATACCGGGTGACCACTGGATAGATAGCTCTTTCAGAGGCGTTCAAATGAAGAATCAATACTATGATTATGGTATATATGATGTACGTTTTGATGATTCACCTGATACTGCCCCGGCGAGATTGGTTTAGACTGTAGAGGTTTGTCTTATCATTAACTATGATCAATGACGTGCTCGGTTACGTCTCGTCTTCACTGACAGGGATACACAATGACGATGTTCTTAACTGATGTTCCACGCGGCTTAGATACTTTTGATGACAATATGATATAACCCCGGTGGTTATAGACAACAGTAAACTGTCAGTTCTCAATCTTGAACTGAATGCAAGATTCTCAGTCAACCACTGATGAGCATGGCTGGAGAATCAGTGATTGCGGTTTCGTTAACACAGTCCTGATATCACGTGCACACGCACACCCCCAGTGCACATGCTGTTGGATGCTTTTTACATGCTTTGTTGTTGGTACTGCCTTTTGTTCCGCCCGTTCCAGTTCCTTTTTGCTTATCAGATGAGGTGTTTCGTGTTGTGCACTCGGGACGGTTGTTCGTCATACCAAACACACATTCACTGAAATGTTAAGACCAATCGCATCGCAGTGAACAAACGGAATGACGGTGATTATAACTGTGGTAGAGAAGGAAACGAACACGCTACAGTCAGATATCGTTCTTAATGTATGACAAGCTGCTACTGACAACGTATCACACCTGTGATCAATCCAGAAAGATGATTCGTTCCAGAAAATGTTTCTCTTCTTTATCAACCCGAGTTTCGCTCTGTCATTGTGAAACGAAACGCGTGCACAGAATCGATCTCCTTTTTCGTTTCATGTTTTTCCTTTTCTAATACGGTTACAAGCTGTCGCGTTTATTTTTCTTTCTCAGGTTCCTTGCAAAAATAAACGAGAGGGTCGGCATTTGGCCGCTCAACATCTGCTTGCACGTCTTCACCCCGAGGTCACAATGTGGAGTGACTTGTTGCGCATGTACGGTCCGGGTAGCAAACCGGACAAGAAGACGGAATTAGAAACAATTCAGGGTGCGCAGGCCCAGGAGAAGTCGGCTGTCAAGACTAGTTTGATTCGTTTGCTAAAAGCCAAAATGCATGAATTGGCTGCACAATGGGTAAGTGTGGTCACTTGACTTTAAACACCACATTCTTCTCTGGTTTCAGGAAACCCCAGAGTTTCAGGGCACTGAATCCGGTCTGTTTTGTGTCTAGTACTCGAATTTTGTTAGTTGATTATTTTCTCACTGAATTTTTCGTGTTTTCATGGTCGGAATCAGTTGAATCAACTCTGGCCAAGAATATTCCCTCGATCATTGCTATTTTGTGGGTGATCTGTTGAGCCCATTCAATTTTGCATTCTGTGGGTTTGATTTGTACCACTAAAATGATAGCGAATTATTTCAAGGAAGTTCAAGTTAGACGAATTTCACATGAAGCGTTTATTTTCATTTGCGTTAACTTAGGTTTTTACTTTTCATCAATGTTGTACTGGTAACAGGACATGATAACAATGCCATATATTTTCTATCATTCAACTAAAGTCAGCTGCTTAAGGTCTGGTGAATGTGTTCATGCACTCTATAGGGTCATATGCTTTTATGAATTGAATGGGTAACGACCACAAGTCCCATGGCTGTTTTCATTACCCACCGTCTCACTGTTTGCTTTAATCAAAGAGGCTTAATTATAGTTCCAATAGCGCTCCATCCGATTCGCAAAGGACAGATCCGGTTCGGTGCATGCCGATGTTGCGTAGACCGAGTGTTCACATCAATAGTTGTATAGACGAAAACCGATTGTGGTTTTCCTGGACATCAGAATGGCCCTCAGCCGGCTTATCCTTTGAGAGTGTATGCTAGCAGACTGAGTAACAGCGAGAGGTGTGTTCTGATCATTAACGTTCCTTATCGTTAGACCTCTGGAAGGTCAGATTTTACGGTGAGGGATTACTGTATCTCTCCTATTCGCTTAAGGAGTGTGTGTAGAGCGCGACAGTATGTGCTGCTTTTGCAAACGACGATCAATGAATATCTGTTTTCGGCAACCGGTACTTGTGCATCATCACCCGTGCATAATACGCGAATCCGTTGAATAACGATCATGCCATACGGTGCTTTTTATGGTGAGTGAGTTTTCAATTAAGCCTTTCATTTCGGTGCACGGTCTAAGGTGATTGAGGCACAACCTTTGAATGTCTAAAAGTCTAGTGTATCGTGCTTTGTTTCCGACGTTGGACCAGATTGGAAAAAACGGCTAGGTGGGATGCCAAGATGTGACTTCGAGGACCAAAGAATCTGTGTTTCGATATGTTTTCCGTCGGGGTATACCAAATTCCAGACCCAAAGCTTCAGATTGTTGTTGGTTGTATCTGTCGGTCTATGTCAACGCAAATGTTGGGGCATCCTGCATTTTCAGTGCAAAGTTGAGTAACTTATTCGGTTCTGTTTTTCTTTATTTTAAATCACCGAAGAGCATTACATAAGTGATTTTCGGAACTTTACTATGTTATCGAGGTCGATACAACCGGCTTCTATTACCATTTATGAGTTTATGTGAAAAAACACTAAAAATAAGGGAAAATGAAGCGGAACATGGAAATGTCTTGGCTATCGGTAGTGCACTCAAAACGCATGCACAAAATATCCTATACATATTCATTGGAATTTGTATAGCTATGTCTAACTGATTACCGAATGAAGTACCCTTCGTGTCCTGCTGATCACGGATTGATCAGCGACGGGTAAGTGTTGTACATTGTTGCATTGGATGTACAACTGACTGTCGGAGCAACTGTTTCCAGGTCTAGTTTCGTGTGTTGAATGCGCTTGAGGGTATCCATCTGTTCACGCTAATACTGTTCGTGTAGCGGATCTAATGATAACTAATGTGTAACCAATAGCAAGTTGTTTCAGACCTTTTGAAGGTCCCGTAAGGACCCATTTGTGATCGCTTTGGCCGATCACGGTCTTCTCGAGTTCGGTTAATGATGAGCCAACGGTAAGCAGGTTGTTGTGCCTCCTACATATCTTGTGTTCCTCTTCCGACAACATTTGTCTCCATCAGAATAGGAGACTCCCTAGTCGGAATGCTTTTACCTTTTCAAGAGTAATGTGATCTATTTGAATCGAACAAAGCGGCAAACTGTTTTATTATTCACTCGTGATTCGTGCCATAGGCTGTCTATGGCTGAAACACGGGTGGTCAAAGACAGGGCCGTTGAACATCTTTGAATCGAAGCCTTATTGTTCACATGTTACCCTATTTGGCCTGCTCTATGTGTTGCTTGCGAAGTCAGATTTATTTTTGATGGTTCGTCACTGATAAGTTATTGATTTTCACTCACTTTTTCTAATTCTGCCTTTGCACACAATTAGGAAGAAAACGGGGGAAGCGCACATCCGAAAGGAAAGTTTTTTGTCTCTCCTGATAGCCTGCCTGTGGTCACCTTTCATCCGGATTCCAAGACTGATTTATACAACTCTATCCCCGAAAATTCTACATCGCCCACTTTACCACCCTCTCCGAATGCCGCTTCGGATTAGACCGGTCACCGGAAATCCATTCCTCGTCCGCTGTGCGCCATCTGTAGCTTTAACTTTATCACTCTGAGGCTGTATCTTGTTTCCTGTCACACACACACACACATTCCATACTCATTCACGTGAATTACGTGAGATCATGATGCATTTGGCAAAATATATTCTGCTATCTCACACGCTCTCTTTTGTGCGTCAGTCTTTTTGGACAGGACTGTTGCACTGCGGGATAGCGAATATCGCACTCTGTTTGTGTGAATGATCGCGAAAGAACATCAGGTGTCCATCGAACCGAAATCACTTGCACTCCGAGACAGGAGAATCGAATTCTTTTATCGGACACGAGAATGGATTTATTAGTCGACGCTCGCGCTCGCGATTCTATCTCTCCAGTTACTCATGATCACATGGTTCGGGATTGTTTAATAATCCACTCAAAAGTGATTATGCGCAGGATAGGTGAAATCGGTGACTCATGTTCGTGCTTCTCACGGTCCGAATTCAGAACAACGCTTTTTAACGCAGAATGGAAAAAAATTCGCTGTCGTTGGCCCTGTTTCACCCCTGTTCTCCGCAGACTTTGTGAGTTTTGTCAATCAAGATTTAGGTCTCCGCCGATCAGTCGGTTTTCAGGACGGCGGGTGTTCAGTCTTATTGTTCACCACGCTCCCGTTTTGAGTAGATTAAGTTGACTTGATATAGAAGAAGCTTTGTCGTGGCATCTTGTATAGGCTCATTGATCGAAGAATCACTTCACATTGTCCGCACTTTCGAATATCTGTTCCAGAGGTTATCCGTCACAAATATTCGATTTTTAACTGTTGTGATGGTATCATAGTGCCACTTTAATTAAAAAACGGCTGATTTTCTTACGCGGATAAATCTTTTTCAGTTTAACCTCACCCTTTCGTGCGGCGGTTTTCGTTTGCTGTCTTTTGGCTACTCTTTAGCATGCTGGAGTAGCGGGGAAGATTGAAGAGCCGACTTCTTATGAGATTTGTCCACCGGGCGAGATATAGCTGCCCCAATGGCTAAATTTATCTACTTCTGCTATTACTTGCCCATTTAGGGTGGTGATGGGGGCTAGTCCAACCAAGTCCTTTAGGAACATTCTACACTTCGAAGATCCAAAACTCTTGGCGAACATGGTTACACTACTACTTAAATCACCCAGAAAAGTTGACAACATACCTCTATCTTCGATTACTAGTGCAGTGTCATTCACATACTCCTTGACAAATAGCTTGCCGCCTGCTAACAGGTCGACATCACTCTCCTCACAGGAGGACAGGATGGTTTCTAGAGTCAAATCCATTAGGTGTTTGAATAGTCCAAGAGAGGGCAACTCTGATGAACAACTGTTTCTATGGTGAACTGGGGTGAAAAATAACCCTGACCTCGAGCTCGGTTCCGGGGGTTTAGTGGTGGTAACCCTAAATTCATCCTCCCGCAAGAAGCGTTCCAATCCCCCTACCGCCCGACTTTCCCCATTATGCCTTTTATTGCCGCTTCTTTCTTGCTGAAAATCGTATCTTTGTATATTCAATAGAAAAGAAGTAAAAATGATGAAGTGATCATAAACTTCTCTGGCACAACCTTCAGGTAAAGCACAGTGCAGTCAAATGAGTCGAAGACGGCTTTTTGATCTAGAAAGATGTAAATGGCGGATCTACGAAAGGAATTTCTGTATTCAATAATTTGAACTGCGTGAATGGGTCTGAAATCAGCTGATTCTCATGCGTGCATCGTTCACATGTGGCGGATAATCGATGGGAAATAATGCCTAGAGAAAGACAATATTGATGAAGCTAATTCCTCTGTGATTTTCACATAGGCATCTGTCCCTTGTTTGTAAATCCGTAAAACAACAGGCTCACGCTATTCAGATGGATCCTGTTCATTTCCACATATTAAACCCAAGATTGTCATCAACTCCAAGATCAAAATTGAATCNCCACCCTCAAAAGCCTCTGGGGATGGAGTCCTTATACCCTTTGAAATAACTTATTTCCCTGACAGCCCATTTCAAATGGAGGACCGGTATCAACTGGCAGTAGCTTCCCAGTTGAGATGGGGGTTGACAGACTCAGTGTCGATGGGAGCCAATTGATCTGTCTTACAATGTTCTCCGCATCGCCTAAAAGGGCTTTGTTGATGGATCAGTTTTCTGTGTGGCTCATTGATTACCTCATGAAGTTATTATGACGAAAATACCTCCTGGATACAAGTATATGGATGGACTAACGAAAGTTTGCCCAATACGCATATCTGACGAACGGCAAAAACCGCGAAACCGGTCGTGTGCTTCCAGGGGAATGTTGTCAAGTTCTTCATATAATTTAGATGATGAATGTTTGGATTAACCCATTGGGCTTTTCACATTGCTGACGAGTCCCAAACAGGACGAAACAACTGTCCAGTGCTTTTTGTTGGTTATCACAAACATTTCATATACTGTTTATTGCGATGTATATATATATATATCTATATATATATATCTGATTCCAGACTGTATGCCAAACAAATCACGGTACAAAATTATTTGTGCAAAAAGTTTATGGTTCGCTCACAGGAGCGATACAGCTGGATTCCTTAAACGAAAACAGATACATTTTCTTGTAGACTTCACAAAGGGAGCCTTTGGCTAGCCACAGCCTAATACGTAAGGCGGCCGGGCGGTATGTGAAAACCGTAATCCATTGCTGGCTGGTGTCCGGTTCATCGGATCATACAGGAGGTGTGCTTGTTTGCATTTCGTTCGCCTCTTCTTTAATTTGAAATCAGGCTTCTCGGCCAACGGGCCTGTGTGAATTGCTAGCGGTTGACCGACCCGGACGTTTGCTTTTCGTCCTCTCACTTTGGTGGAAAAACAGCGCCATGAGAAGCAGTGAGTAGGGATTAATCAGTAGAGGCTATTCGAGAAGCTGTGTCGTATGGGAGCATTTCACTGGGTGCAATTGGATGCACTCACCCTCGACCATACTGAAGCTTTCAGAAGTCAAACTCTCAATAAAAGTCATATTTTTCCTAGATATTGCTCCTTGTTTGAACACAGAGTTAAGTTAGCCACCACGAGAGTAGTCCTTACAGTTCAGTGTTCGGTACGTACTAGAGGAAACTGAAAAACGAGATCTGATTGCCAAAATAGTGGACTCCACGCCAGGATGATTGACCAAGGAGTTCAAGAATGAGGAAGGGCTTGTAGGGTACTTATAAAACGAAATTACAAAACATGTCATGCATATCAGTCATTTCCGGAAATACATTCCTTCGATTGTTTTCTACAAGCGTTGTCAAAATGATACTAGACTAAAAGAAAAATAATCAATGTAAGAAATGCTGCGTGTGATGCGGGTAAACACCATACACATTTCCGTACGCGAGACTCAAAACGCTAGGAACTGAGAGGAAGAGGTAGGATGAAAGATATCCTGTTGAACGAGTTCTATCAATACCTGCACGTAAGTATAAATATCACTTGTTTTATTATTACCATTATTATTGTTATTATTTTTTACTATTATTAAATTAGTGCAGGTCGTTTCACAGGCACACGTTGGGAAGTCTGTAACGAATCGCTTCGTCTTTGTATGTGTGCGCCGTTAATTGACCGAAACCGTCTACACTAACAGACACCACGCTTAACACACTGGATGACCCCCTAGATTACCCACAGCCTACGAAGGTGCCCGGTGGAAATCAGAACTGTCATAGGTGAATGTGTTTAGGGAATTATATCGTAATTGTGATCATATGTGACAACGAAAGTTCGAAAAAAGGTCACACCAAAATGGACAACTTCGCTCACTAAAAATACCACAGGCGAGTTGTAGATTTTGGTGCTTAGTTCCCCGCCAAGCTTGGCGATCAGATTGCAGACGTTTGTCTGTTGTGATCTTAAAAATAGTCGTCTGAGCGACTTGGCTTTGTGTAGAATCCTGATTGGTGTTTTCTCCATGCATTTTTTTCTTTTCATTTAACTTGGACATATAATGATACAGTTTTCACGAAGTGGTTCGATTGAACCCTCTTAGGTTCACACTGATTGGTGCTCGTGTCCCATTGGAGTAGAAACTCGTTCGATGTCAATGTGTCGGTTTACCCAATTTTCAAACGAGGCACACTTTGAGACACTCCGGTGATTGTTTCCTGCGGCACTTTCAAGGTCGAATTTGCGTATTTGGTCCTGACAAATTTAAAGAAAAGTGCAACCTGTCTTTAT